ATTGCTAAAGCTAAATTAAAAATTAGCTCTAAAGGTCCTCAAACAATGCTATTCATATTTATTGCTTTTTTTAAAATTTTCAGATATTTTTAAAATAATTTAAAACATTTTATAATTATAAATATCTAAATGAGTACCCTTAGAATTTAAATCCCATCATGCGGCATTTGTTATCAAAAGTCACTTTTAATTTTAATATTTCTATACCGATATTTAAGGTACCCACGGTATACTTATTACTTTTAGTAGTTTTCTTTTCCTTTTGAATTCTAATCTATTATTCAATACTCATATGTTAATACTATTTCTCTCAGCTGATGATAAAATCAAATTCCTGATTTAAATATACTAATTACTTATTGATGAAGCTAAATTAAAATTTAGCTCTAAAGGTCCTCAAATAATGCTATTCATATTTATTGCTCTTTTTAAAATTTTAAGATATTGTTAAAATAATTTTAAACATTTTATAATTATAAATATCTAAATCAGTACCCTTAGAATTTACATCCCATCATGCGGCATTTTTTTATCAAAAGTCACCTTTATTTTTAATATTTCTATACCGATATTTGAGGTACCTAAGTATACTTATTACATTTTGTATTTTTCTTTTCCTTTTGAATTCAAAGCTTTTATTCAATAATCATTTGTTAATACTATTTCTGTCAGCTGATGATAAAATCAAATTCCTGATTTAAATATACTAATTACTTATTGCTAAAGCTAAATTAAAAAATAGCTCTAAAGGTCCTCAAACAATGCTATTCATATTTATTGCTCTTTTAAAAATTTTAAGATATTTTTTAAAATAATTTAAAACATTTTATAATTATAAATATCTAAATGAGTACCCTTAGAATTTAAATCCCATCATGCGGCATTTGTTATCAAAAGTCACTTTTAATTTTAATATTTCTATACCGATATTTAAGGTACCCAAAGTATACTTATTAGATTTTGTAGTTTTCTTTTCCTTTTGAATTCTAATCTATTATTCAATACTCATATGTTAATACTATTTTTCTCAGCTGATGATAAAATCAAATTCCTGATTTAAATATACTAATTACTTATTGATGAAGCTAAATTAAAAATTAGCTCTAAAGGTCCTCAAACAATGCTATTCATATTTATTGCTCTTTTTGAAATTTTCAGATATTTTTAGAATAATTTAAAACATTTTATAACTATAAATTTCTAAATGAGGACCCTTAAAATTTCAATCCCATCATGCGGCATTTTTTTATCAAAAGTCACCTTTATTTTTAATATTTCTATACCGATATTTGAGGTACCCAAAGTACACTTATTACATTTTGTATTTTTCTTTTCCTTTTGAATTCAAAGCTTTTATTCAATAATCATTTGTTAATACTATTTCTGTCAGCTGACGATAAAATCAAATTCCTGATTTAAATATACTAACTACTTATTGCTAAAGCTAATTTAAAAATTAGCTCTAAAGGTCCTCAAACAATGCTATTCATATTTATGGCTCTTTTTAAAATTTTCAGATATTTCTTAAAATAATTTAAAACATTTTATAATTATAAATATCTAAATGAGTACCCTTAGAATTTAAATCCCATCATGCGGCATTTGTTATCAAAAGTCACTTTTAATTTTAATATTTCTATACCAATATTTAAGGTACCCACGTTATACTTATTACTTTTAGTAGTTTTCTTTTCCTTTTGAATTCAAATCTATTATTAACTATTCATATTTTAATACTATTTCTGTCAGCTGATGATAAAATCAAATTCCTGATTTAAATGTACTTATTACTTATTGCTGAAGCTAAATTAAAAATTAGCTCTAAAGGTCCTCAAACAATGCTATTCATATTTATTGCCTTTTTTAAAATTTTCATATATTTTTAAAATAATTTAAAACATTTTATAATTATAAATATCTAAATGTGGACCCTTAGAATTTAAATCCCATCATGCGGCATTTGTCATCAAAAGTCGCCTTTAATTTTAATATTTCTATACCGATATTTAAGGTACCCAAAGTATACTTATTAGATTTTGTAGTTTTCTTTTCCTTTTGAATTGTAATCTATTATTCAATACTCATATGTTAATACTATTTCTCTCAGCTGATGATAAAATCAAATTCCTGATTTAAATATACTAATTACTTATTAATGAAGCTAAATTAAAAATTAGCTCTAAAGGTCCTCAAACAATGCTATTCATATTTATTGCTCTTTTTAAAATTTTCAGATATTTTTAGAATAATTTAAAACATTTTATAACTATAAATTTCCAAATGAGGACCCTTAAAATTTCAATCCCATCATGCGGCATTTTTTTATCAAAAGTCACCTTTATTTTTAATATTTCTATACCGATATTTGAGGTACCCAAAGTACACTTATTACATTTTGTATTTTTCTTTTCCTTTTGAATTCAAAGCTTTTATTCAATAATCATTTGTTAATACTATTTCTGTCAGCTGACGATAAAATCAAATTCCTGATTTAAATATACTAACTACTTATTGCTAGAGCTAATTTAAAAATTAGCTCTAAAGGTCCTCAAACAATGCTTTTCATATTTATTGCTCTTTTTTAAATTTTCAGATATTTTTAAAATAATTTAAAACATTTTATAATTATAAATATCCAAATGAGTACACTAAGAATTTAAATCCCATCATGCGGCATTTGTTATCAAAAGTCACTTTTAATTTTAATATTTCTATACCGATATTTAAGGTACCCAAAGTATACTTACTACATTTTGTAGTTTTCTTTTCCTTTTGAATTTAAATGTATTAATAAATATTTATATTTTAATACTATTTCTGTCAGCTGATGATAAAATCAAATTCCTGATTTAAATGTACTAACTACTTATTGCTAGAGCTAATTTAAAAATTAGCTCTAAAGGTCCTCAAACAATGCTATTCATATTTATTGCTCTTTTTAAAATTTTCAGATATTTTTAAAATAATTTAAAACATTTTATAATTATAAATATCTAAATGTGGACCCTTAGAATTTAAATCCCATCATGCGAAATTTGTTATCATGTCACCTTTATTTTTAATGTCTCTATACCGATATTTAAAGTACCCAAAGTATCCTTACTACATTTTGTATTTTTCTTTTCCTTTTGAATTCAAATCTATTATTAAATATTTATATTTTAATACTATTTCTCTCAGCTGATGATAAAATCAAATTCCTGATTTAAATATACTAATTACTTATTGATGAAGCTAAATTAAAAATTAGCTCTAAAGGTCCTCAAACAATGCTATTCATATTTATTGCTCTTTTTAAAATTTTCAGATATTTTTAGAATAATTTAAAACATTTTATAACTATAAACTTCCAAATGTGGACCCTTAGAATTTAAATCCCATCATGCAGCATTTTTTTATCAAAAGTCGCCTTTAATTTTAATATTTCTATACCGATATTTAAGGTACCCAAAGTATACTTATTAGATTTTGTAGTTTTCTTTTCCTTTTGAATTCTAATCTATTATTCAATACTCATATGTTAATACTATTTCTCTCAGCTGATGATAAAATCAAATTCCTGATTTAAATATACTAATTACTTATTGATGAAGCTAAATTAAAAATTAGCTCTAAAGGTCCTCAAACAATGCTATTCATATTTATTGCTCTTTTTAAAATTTTCAGATATTTTTAGAATAATTTAAAACATTTTATAACTATAAATTTCCAAATGAGGACCCTTAAAATTTCAATCCCATCATGCGGCATTTTTTTATCAAAAGTCACCTTTATTTTTAATATTTCTATACCGATATTTGAGGTACCCAAAGTACACTTATTACATTTTGTATTTTTCTTTTCCTTTTGAATTCAAAGCTTTTATTCAATAATCATTTGTTAATACTATTTCTGTCAGCTGACGATAAAATCAAATTCCTGATTTAAATATACTAACTACTTATTGCTAAAGCTAATTTAAAAATTAGCTCTAAAGGTCCTCGAACAATGCTATTTATATTTATTGCTCTTTTTTAAATTTTCAGATATTTTTAAAATAATTTAAAACATTTTATAATTATAAATATCCAAATGAGTACACTAAGAATTTAAATCCCATCATGCGGCATTTGTTATCAAAAGTCACCTTTAATTTTAATATTTCTATACCGATATTTAAGGTACCCAAAGTATACTTATTACATTTCGTATTTCTCTTTTACTTTTTAATTCAAATCTATTATTAAATATTTATATTTTAATACTATTTCTGTCAGCTGATGATAAAATCAAATTCCTGATTTAAATATACTAACTACTTATTGCTAGAGCTAATTTAAAAATTAGCTCTAAAGGTCCTCAAACAATGCTTTTCATATTTATTGCTCTTTTTTAAATTTTCAGATATTTTTAAAATAATTTAAAACATTTTATAATTATAAATATCCAAATGAGTACACTAAGAATTTAAATTTCATCATGCGGCATTTGTTATCAAAAGTCACTTTTAATTTTAATATTTCTGTTTGGAAAATTCACTTGTAAATTATAATGTGAAAAAAAGGAATGTAACATTGGTTAAGGATGAGCAAGAACTCAATGATACAACAAAATTTGATGCAAAGAAATTCACATTTAATTTTTATAATAGTAATACAAATCATTGAAAATAACTTACAAACAGGATTATAAATATCGATTATGATATGATTCCCAGCTTAACGGCAATATTTTATGCGCGCGACACTCACATTTCAAAAACCATGCGAAGACTGGCTCAGACTCGCTCCGGTTCCTACCACCACTGTGACTAGAGCGCCGAAGCAGTAGAGGGGGAAATCGAGTCCCAACAGCTGGCAACGTTGCGTAGAAGGTTAACAAACAATTAAATCATAAACATCCCGCCCGCCTCGTTTAGCAAACGAAAACTCTAAAGTAGGAAAAGAACAAAACAGAAAATTGTGCCGCCCGCCATGAAGTATCGAATTAGTGCAGCATATGTACAAAAAAGGACTAAATTTTCAAGTCGAAGTTGGTAACAAACATAGTTTCGCGATGGGACGGGTGTAGGTTCCGGATGCAGTACGAACACAAGCAGAACGAACGAGTCCATCCTTACCAGGAAAAACTTCAGTAACACGACCGAGAGGCCAATTTCCTTGCCTTAACAAGGAAGGATCGAGAATCAATACCAAATCGTTAGTTTGCAAATTCTTCTTTTTCTCAGCCCATTTATTTCTTTGTTGAAGTGTATGGACATATTCTCGAGACCATCTGCTCCAAAAGATATCTCTCATAGCTTTAACTAAGCGCCATCGAGTAACATAGTCTAAGTTTTCATTCGTGCTTAAGGCTTCAGTAAATGAATAGAGAGCCCTACCAATTAAAGCGTAATTCGGAGTAAGGGCTTCTACATCTTCTGGGTCACCAGAGATCGGCAGAAGAGGACGAGAATTCATACATGCTTCGATTTCCACAACTAATGTGGACAATTCTTCATATGTGAGAGCACGAGTTCCAATTATCTTTTTAATGTGTGACTTTGCTGATTTTATATTTGACTCCCACAAGCCACCAAAATGAGGCGCGGAAGGTGGTATAAATTTCCATTTAATTCCTCGGTTGGCTAATGTGTCTTCAACGACATTCCAATCAATTTCAGCGTCATGCAACATGGATCGAAGTTCTGCATCGGCCCCGTGGAAAGTAGTCGCGTTGTCACTCCATATTTCGCATGGCGTTCCGCGACGTCCAATCAATCGCCGAAGGGCTCCAATAAACGATTGTGTGGTTAGGTCTCCGACTATCTCGAGATGTACAGCTTTCGAACTTAAGCACACAAACAGTGCCATATAACCCTTGGTGGATCGAGCGCCTCGACCAGTGGTTCATTTTATAGAGAAAGGTCCTGCATAGTCGACGCCGGTTTTCTCAAAGGGATGACTAACAGTTACTCTTTCAGAAGGGAGATTTCCCATAAGCTGTTCGGATCTTTGAGCCTTATGTCGAACACATATGACACATTTGCGAATATGAGCCTTAACTCGCACACGGCCACGAATAATCCAAGCTCTTTTGATAGCGTTCGAGTAAGTCAATTGAAATCCACCATGTAAGGCTGTTCGGTGAGCCTGGTCGATTATTAACCCTGCTAATGGACTATTTCCATGTAAGATGATAGGATGACGTTGATCATAGGGCAACGCAGAATTTGCCAGTCGTCCACCGACTCTCAATATCCCCATTTGATCGATGAAAGGATTTAATCGATAAAGTTGATTGTGATGAGGAAGATTTTTTTTTGGTATGATTTCTAATTCTTCTTTAAAACTATTGCTTTGACTGAGGAAAACACAAGCGAGAAATGCTCGCTTTATTTCATCAGGTGGTAGTCGCAAGCGAAAAGATTCACTGCGATACGGCATTGGCTTTAAAAGGAGTTTAAATCTTAGGCATCTTGCTATAACTCTTAATAATCGTGTTAAACATGAAAAGCGACTGATGATCTTGTCAGTTCGGTGCAAAAAGAGACTTTGAATTGATGTTGAGGGTTCTGTCAACTTTTCGAGAGTTTCGCTTTTCAAATTTGGAAACGTTGGCCACGCAGAAGTTTCTTTAGACAACCAGTCAGGGCCTCGCCACCACAAGTTGCAGTCGATTAGAGAATGGGCATCTGTTCCACGACTCGCGATGTCAGCAGGGTTATCCTTCCCTGGAACATATTTCCAAGATTCTTTGGAAAAGTTTTGCTGAATCTCAGAAACACGGTTGGCGACATACACTGGCCATCGAGATGGATCATCAGCTTTAATCCAGCTCAATGTATTAATAGAATCTGACCAAGCATATGCTTTAACGACAGGAATTTCCAAAATACTCATTAGATTGTTTATCAATTTTACTGTTAGTAAAGCAGCGCAGAGTTCAAGCCTTGGGATTGTGACAGTTTTAACAGGTGCGACACGACTCTTTGCTGTTAATAGATGCGTATGATAGTTTCCATTTGATGACTTTATCCGAATGTAAACAACTGAGGCGAAAGCAAGTTTGCTAGCGTCTCCGAATCCGTGAATTTCAGCAATGTCTCCAGGATGGTAGTTTATCCATCGTGCAAAATGAATATTTTTGATTTCAGACAAACTGGAATGTAATGCTAACCACTTTCTTACAAGTGTCTCTGAAAGAGGAGAATCCCAGTCAACTTGGCTTTTCCAAAGTTCCTGCATAAGGATTTTTCCTTTAATAGTGATAGGACTGAGCCAACCGTTTGGGTCAAATAGTTTTGAAATAGCTGCTAGAACTTTTCTTTTTGTGGGAATATATTCGAGATCAATCACTGGAGCCTTGAAGCAAAATTGGTCTTGAATTGGATCCCATGCAATTCCTAGAGCGTTAACAGGATTTTCTGTTTTGAAATTTAACCAGGTTGGGCGAAGTCGATCAGCTTCTGGAAGATCGTTTAGAAGAGATGGGTGATTAGAAATCCATTTTTTCAGATGCATTCCTGCTGATTTTAAAAGGTTAATAAGTTCATCTCGAAGTTGACGAGCAGCGTTTTCATCGCATTCTCCAGCGAACATGTCATCGACATAAACATTGTTACGAATAATCTGAGCTGCCTTTGGATAGGTGTGTCCTTTATCTGCTGCTAGTTGATGTAATGTTCGGATAGCTAGGTATGGTGCACAAGACATACCATAAGTTAATGTGAGAAGTTGAAAGTGGTCAACTTTATCCTGATCTGGTGATCGCCAAACAATGCGTTGAAGATCAATATCTCTTTCGTCAATTAAAATCTGACGGTACATCATTTCGATGTCCGCAGAAAATACTATTTTGTGAAATCTCCATCGCATTAGGACTGTTGAGAGATCATTTTGCATCTTTGGGCCTGTGTAGAATATTTGGTTTAACTTTATCCCTGAAGAGGTTTTATCTGAAGCGTTGAAGACGACTCTAACTTTTAGTGGATTATCTGACATGCGCCAAACTGCGTGGTGTGGAATATAACAAACAGTTTTAGAATCGTCAAAGTTATCTAAAGGTAAAATAAGACGCATGTGTCCTCGTGATAGATACTCTGACATAAATAGAGAATATTTAGTTTTTAATACTGCATCGCTCTTCCATTTATCATGCAAGGCATTTAGCATATGTTTGGCTCTAGGCAATGATTCTCCGAGTGTAGTTTGTGAGTTGGGTCGTATAGGGAGTCGTACAATATAACGACCAGAGGCATGACGTCGACATCCTTCAGTAAATAGACGCTCACATTCTTGATCCTCTAAAGATTTTATAGTAGGGTTGTTAACCTCTTCTTGTTCCCAGAATCGTTTTAACAATTCGTATAATTTATCGTCCTGAGAAGTGTTCAGTGATAAAATTCTTTTCGAATGAATATTATTCGCACTTACGGAAGAACCAGTGATGACCCACCCGAATACAGTCCGAAGTGCAACAGGTGTATTTCGTGATCCTTTACGAATGCCATTAAGCATTAGAGATCCGTAAACATCAGCCCCAATTATTATATCGACAGAACCAGGTTCAGCAAATGTTGGGTCAGCTAAGTTGAGATCTCGAATATGAGACCATATCTGTGGTGATACCTTTCGAGATGGCGTTGTAATATTTAACTTTCGGAGAATTAAAGCATTTATTTTTAAGGGTATTGCCCATTCTTTGCAAACAAGTTCAAGATTGACGCAACCATTTGCAATTCCAATCGATTTGTTTCCTAAGGAACTGATAGAAACTTTTGCTGTAGTTATGGGAAGGTTTAAGCGACGTGCTAAAGACCGTGAAATAAAGGTGGCCTCAGCGCCAGAGTCGAGTAAAGCTCGAGCCTTTAAATGGCCTTGGTTGGATGCTTTAATTGTGACTTCAGCAGTGGCCAGTAGTATAGATCATGAAGAAGGAGTTTCTGACGTGGTTTGGTTCAGGGAATCTGAGGAATGGGAAATGAGATTGGCAACGCCTCTTTTTGGTGCAGGTGACTCTAAGTTTTCGGAGTTTTTCCTTTTCCTCACCATTGATTCATGAAGAGTTGTATGGTGCAATGCTTCGCAAACCCTGCAGCGAGATTTGGAAGGACAATTGGTGTAAGTATGATTTGAATGCAAACAATTGAAACATAGCTTTAATTTAGCGGCACTTTGACGACGAGATAATGGATTAAGCTTTTTCCATTCAGGACAGTGACCAATGTAATGCCGGTTTTTACAGGCTGCGCACTGTTGTTCTGTAAAGGTAGTTTAAGCTTTGATTTGTTCGAGTTATTTGACTTGTCGACACGACTGGGACGCTTCGATGAGATATCTTTGGAAGGCATTAATGATTCAGTAGCTTTAAGAGCACGAATCCGTTGTTGTAAAAATACCTGAATGTCATCAAAGGTCGATATCACATCGTCATCCTTTAATTGATTTTCCCAATCGCGTTGAGTAATGGGGTCCATGCTACGAACGGCTAGAAAGGTAAACCAATCGTCCCAAAATTCCACCGGACGGCCGATGGTTTTTAGAGAATCCTTACGCCGGACAATATTATCTAATATTTGCTGAAGACCGGTAGCACTTTCCTCCTTCAATATTGGAAAGGAAATTAAGCTTTGAAGGTGATTACGTATCAAAAGTTGTTTGTTGTTATAGCGACTTAGGAGAAGATTCCAGGCAATATTATAATTGGTATCGGTAACAGCAATCGCGTCAAGAGCCGTTTGAGCTTCTCCCTTCACTAGTCCCTTTAAATAATATAATTTCTGGACCGGCGTTAATGAAGGATCGTTATGTACAATAGACTGAAAGAGATCCCTAAAGGTTTCCCAATCATCATTCTGGCCTGAAAAGGATGGAAGATTGATTTTTGGTAGGTGAACAGGGGAAGAGAATCGTGTATGGGTAGTTTGTTGAACGGGATTGGTAATCGATTTTTCAATATTTGATAATGCATTATAAATATAACTTAACGTTTGCGTAAAGCGCGACTGAACTAATTCGAAATGGTTTTCAGTGAAATACAATTCATTTGCAATTGACTCTTTACCTACTAGTTTTAAATGATTGTCTCGAAATGTCGAGAAGTATGAGTTGAGAAGTTCCGATTGGCTGCGCAGAAAACCAATTGTAAGATTTTCTAGAGGGGTTGGAACTGTAGCTTCGTGTAAGTTGTTGATAGCTGATGCCAAAGCGGACTGCCCTTTGAGTAGTTGCACAGTCTTCATGTTGGCGAATCAGTGATTCAAAAAGGAAGGAGAAGAGATAAAAAAACAGGATTATCATATATGGTAAGAAGTTGATAAAGGGATTTAAATATAATAAATATAATTACAGGTTATTAATATTTGGATGAGAAAAAATATTATTGATTAAATTTAAGCAGTCAACATGACAAAATTAAATTAACGAGGCCTAGCTCGAGGCTGCTGCAACTCGGCAGCAAAGTTAAGTAAATAAGATGCCTAGCTCGAGGCTGCTGCAACTCGGCAGCAAGGTTAAGTCAGTGAATGCCTAGCTCGAGGCTACTGCAACTCGGCAGCAAGGTTAAGTCAGTGATTGCCTAGCTCGAGGCTACTGCAACTCGGCAGCAAGGTTAAGTAAACAAGACGCTTAGATTTTTTAATGTTCTGTATCAAGAGCGCCAAACTCACCCTTATCCGGCTCGAAGGACCAAAAATAATGTTTGGAAAATTCACTTGTAAATTATAATGTGAAAAAAAGGAATGTAACATTGGATAAGGATGAGCAAGAACTCAATGATACAACAAAATTTGATGCAAAAAAATTCACATTTAATTTTTATAATAGTAATACAAATCATTCAAAATAACTTACAAACAGGATTATAAATATCGATTATGATATGATTCCCAGCTTAACGGCAATATTTTATGCGCGCGACACTCACATTTCAAAAACCATGCGAAGACTGGCTCAGACTCGCTCCGGTTCCTACCACCACTGTGACTAGAGCGCCGAAGTAGTAGAGGGGGAAATCGAGTCCCAACAGCTGGCAACGTTGCGTAGAAGGTTAACAAACAATTAAATCATAAACAATTTCTATACCGATATTTAAGGTACCCAAAGTATACTTACTACATTTTGTAGTTTTCTTTTCCTTTTGAATTTAAATGTATTATTAAATATTTATATTTTAATAATATTTCTGTCAGCTGATGATAAAATCAAATTCCTGATTTAAATGTACTAATTACTTATTGCTGAAGCTAAATTAAAAATTAGCTCTAAAGGTCCTCAAACAATGCTATTCATATTTATTGCCTTTTTTAAAATTTTTATATATTTTTAAAATAATTTAAAACATTTTATAATTATAAATATCTAAATGTGGACCCTTAAAATTTAAATCCCATCATGCGGCATTTGTCATCAAAAGTCGCCTTTAATTTTAATATTTCTATACCGATATTTAAGGTACCCAAAGTATACTTATTAGATTTTGTAGTTTTCTTTTCCTTTTGAATTCTAATCTATTATTCAATACTCATATGTTAATACTATTTCTCTCAGCTGATGATAAAATCAAATTCCTGATTTAAATATACTAATTACTTATTGATGAAGCTAAATTAAAAATAAGCTCTAAAGGTCCTCAAACAATGCTATTCATATTTATTGCTCTTTTTAAAATTTTCAGATATTTTTAGAATAATTTAAAACATTTTATAACTATAAATTTCCAAATGAGGACCCTTAAAATTTCAATCCCATCATGCGGCATTTTTTTATCAAAAGCCACCTTTATTTTTAATATTTCTATACCGATATTTGAGGTACCCAAAGTACACTTATTACATTTTGTATTTTTCTTTTCCTTTTGAATTCAAAGCTTTTATTCAATAATCATTTGTTAATACTATTTCTGTCAGCTGACGATAAAATCAAATTCCTGATTTAAATATACTAACTACTTATTGCTAAAGCTAATTTAAAAATTAGCTCTAAATGTCCTCAAACAATGCTATTCATATTTATTGCTCTTTTTTAAATTTTCAGATATTTTTAAAATAATTTAAAACATTTTATAATTATAAATATCTAAATGAGGACCCTTAGAATTTAAATCCCATCATGCGGCATTTGTTATCAAAAGTCACCTTTAATTTTAATATTTCTATACCGATATTTGAGGTACCCAAAGTACACTTATTACATTTTGTATTTTTCTTTTCCTTTTGAATTCAAAGCTTTTATTCAATAATCATTTGTTAATACTATTTCTGTCAGCTGATGATAAAATCAAATTCCTGATTTAAATATACTAACTACTTATTGCTAAAGCTAATTTAAAAATTAGCTCTAAAGGTCCTCAAACAATGCTTTTCATATTTATTGCTCTTTTTTAAATTTTCAGATATTTTTAAAATAATTTAAAACATTTTATAATTATAAATATCCAAATGAGTACACTAAGAATTTAAATTTCATCATGCGGCATTTGTTATCAAAAGTCACTTTTAATTTTAATATTTCTATACCGATATTTAAGGTACCCAAAGTATACTTACTACATTTTGTAGTTTTCTTTTCCTTTTGAATTTAAATGTATTAATAAATATTTATATTTTAATACTATTTCTGTCAGCTGATGATAAAATCAAATTCCTGATTTAAATATACTATTACTTATTGCTGAAGCTAAATTAAAAACTAGCTCTAAAGGTCCTCAAAACAATGCTATTCATATTTATTGCTCTTTTTAAAATTTTCAGATATTGTTAAAATAATTTTAAACATTTTATAATTATAAATATCTAAATCAGTACCCTTAGAATTTAAATCCCATCATGCTGCATTTTTTCATCAAAAGTCACCTTTATTTTTAATATTTCTATACCGATATTTGAGGTACCTAAGTAAACTGAATAAATTTTTTTTTCTTTTCCTTTTGAATTCAAAGCTTTTTTTCAATAATCATTTGTTAATACTATTTCTGTCAGCTGATGATAAAATCAAATTCCTGATTTAAATATACTAATTACTTATTGCTGAAGCTAAATTAAAAATTAGCTCTAAAGGTCCTCAAACAATGCTATTCATATTTATTGCTCTTTTTAAAATTTTCAGATATTTTTAAAATAATTTAAAACATTTTATAATTATAAATATCTAAATGTGGACCCTTAGAATTTAAATCCCATCATGCGAAATTTGTTATCATGTCACCTTTATTTTTAATGTCTCTATACCGATATTTAAAGTACCCAAAGTATCCTTACTACATTTTGTATTTTTCTTTACCTTTTGAATTCAAATCTATTATTAAATATTTATATTTTAATACTATTTCTCTCAGCTGATGATAAAACCAAATTCCTGATTTAAATATACTAATTACTTATTGATGAAGCTAAATTAAAAATTAGCTCTAAAGGTCCTCAAACAATGCTATTCATATTTATTGCTCTTTTTAAAATTTTCAGATATTTTTAATATAATTTAAAACATTTTATATTTATAAATATCCAAATGTGGACCCT